GGTGACAAAATAGGCTTATTAAGATTAAATAATCCATGCGAAACGGTTCATCACTGTTACGCACTGGATCCAAAAATTTATGAATAATGCACTTGAAATCATGCTTAGCGAGTTACTATATGCCAAGGTCTGAGAAAGATACACGTTTTCCTGATAGAAGAGTATTTATAAAGTAGACAAACAACAGTCTGTATTTTTTTACATAAGATTTGTGTTGTTCAACATTTCGTTTCAAACTTGAAATCATTTTCTTTTGAAAGATTATATCTGAAAATTATCTACCTATCACAGAAAAATATCGTAAATTATAAAAAAAACAATAATATCACTGATAATGTTTTTATCAGTGATATTATTGTGTAATAATAATAATTTACGATATAAATATCAGTAATTTACGATATAAATATCGTAAATTATAAAACACAGTGATATAACTGATAATGTTTTTAGCACAGAATATTATTTTTTGCTTCATTTGTTTTACTTATAAGGTATTTTTCCCACTTCCCTAGCGTGCCTTCGTGGTGTAACGGTAGCACGCTGGGCCGGTATTCCAGAGGTCCGTGGTTCGATTCCTGGCGAAGGCGTTTCTGCTTCCAATTAACCTAATGACTCTACAAACTGACTTATAGTTTCTTAAGAGAATCCTTCTTGTTTGAATATAATAGTTCTAGAGGATATCGACAAAATAAAAAAAAAAAAAAAAAGGTCGAAACGAAGTGTAGAGTATTACCTTACAACATTTTTTTCTCTACATTTTTCTACATCAATGTAGATCTAAAATGTTTATCAGGAATTTATATTCGGAGAACGTATTCATAGAGTCTATATGCTGACAGGTTTAATTATAATTTTTCTGCTTTCATTCTGATATTTAATCAGTCTGTTAATTTTAATATGTAGTTTTCATAGATTTTTGATTCTGTATTGCTTTTTAATCGAATTTTAAAACTTCCTCTTTATCATAAAATCATGACAATATTTAATGTTTCCTAACTATTCTGCATAAGATATTTAGTTTGTGTATGTAATGGCAGGGGAGAAAGCTGGAAATAAAGAGGTAAAAAAGCTTACTTTTGAGCATTTTTTTTAAAACTTGTTTGGCAATATACAATGAAGTGCTATTAGTATAGTTAATAAATTAACCTGGCTAGAACTGTACTTGATTTAAGAAAAATAATGGATATTACTTAGTGGATTTTACCCTAGCTAATTTTAGAATTTTTCCTCATCAATTAAAATTTTTTTCTCCAGATAATTTTGTTTTTATGTTATTAAGTACTCAGTTTTTTTCGAAAACTTTTGCGTAATGCTAATAGCTTTTAAATTCCGCGTTACCTAATCTCGGCTTTCATGTGTATTCAAATTGCACGAATTACCGTTTACTTTGTAAACAGCTTCCCTACACGTGTTTCCCATTTGCGTGCAATAACATTTAAATCTCAGTTACGTCGCGAATGTCTTGGTGCATTGGAATCATTTATAAGTTCCGGTCTAATTGACATTCGTGTTTAAGGTAATGTCATAGCAACAAATCTGTACAGAAAAACCTTTTTCTTTCTCAACGCACGATGTACACCTTGACACACATCCTTTTTGTGAAGTTTTAAAGATAAATTTAGTTACACCCTAAATTATATAAAGTTGTGTTCCAAATTACATCAACTTTAATTTCCTCAAATTTTTAGACTAAAATTATTGCTATATATGACATATTTAACAAAATTAAAAACAAACTTCCTTGATCATGTCTATTAGAATATGTATTTAACATTGCCTCACATGTGAAAAAAATGCTAAAGCTCTGAGATGTACTTTAAAGCCTTACATATATAGGGTTAGCATGAAAGTAATTAAAATTTTTAGTGTAAAATAAAATTCAGTTTTTTTCTATACAAAAATGAGCTTTAATCAGTCAAATACTTTTCATTCTGTTCGATGACCCTTTGCCATCTTTCTGGTAACTTCCTGTTTCCTCCTCATAAAACTTCTGGTCCTTATCAGCACAATTCTCAACCAAGTGTGATTTGAGATCATTCCTTATTACTGAAATTTTTGCCATTTAAGAAGTTTTGCAAGCTGTGAAGTAAATAATAATCCGTTGGTGCAATGTCGGGGCTATATGGGGGTATATTGCTTCCCAAACAAACTCTAGAAATTCAGTACGTGTTGATAAAGATGTACGAGGCCTCGCATTGTCCTAGTGGAACCCGATTCCTTTGCCATTTGAAAATTCTGGACTTTAGCTGTTGGCAGTAAAAATTTGAGTTGATCATTTGGTTGTTCGGAAGCAGCTCAAAATACACACCTTTATAACCCCAGCAAACTGACAAAGTAATCTTTTTCTGATGTAATTTAACTTTCGATATCATTTGTTCGGATTCATCATGTTAGGGGCATTATCTTTTTCGATTAATGTAGATGATCCATTTTTCATCACCAATGATAATTCGTTTAAAAAAGGGATGACTGCATTACGTTTGAAATGCGTATCGCAAATATTGATTCGTTGTGTTCAATGAACGTCTTTCAATTCATGCGGAAAACAAATATCTAGCTTCTTAACGAATTCGAGACATTTTATGGGATTATCAATTGTTTTGTGTGATACATTTAACAATTTTGCGATATCTCGCACTGTTATACGATGATTCGATTCAATTGTGGCTTTAATTTTGTCATTCACAACTTCAGAAGGTTGCATAGAACGTTTCAAGTGAAATCTTCGGCTGAAAAATCTCCAGAATGAATTTTTTAAATCAATCCAGACACATGCGTTCTGTTAAGCAATCAACAATTAACATTTCACGTATCTCTCTGTGTGTCTCAGCCGCTTTCTTGCCTTTATAAAAATAAAGTAAAATATGTCGAAAATGTTAAAACTGACCGTAAATTAACAACTTCAAACGAAAATACGCAGAATTTGTTTCCATAGCTGCCTAAAGTCGTCAGCTGCCAAATTTCAGGAGAAAGAAAATTATAAGATTGACAGAAGTATAACAAAACGAAATTACGCTATCTGTTTGTGCAAACCGAAATTACTTTCTTTCCAATCCAATACATGCAAACTGATTACAGTTAAGAATAAAAAGAGGAGCCAAATATAAGCTAATAACAGTGAAATTAGTGGTTGTGATTCTTAAAAACGTTCTTACATAGAATATTCAGCATTTAATTCAGTTTTCCGGAATTTTGACATACGATGGTTAATAATAATTGCAAACTCTTTTTCTTTAATTGCAGACTCTAATTTTCTCTGAACAATCTTAATCTCACAATTCATAGTACTCTAACGTAAGCCATTGGGCACATTAGTTACGAAGATACAAAACATATATTTTAAATCTTATTTATTTAGGGAAATTTGGTATAATAGCGTGCAATAAAATAATATATACAGAGTTTGTTTGCACACCTTTAGACGATTTTGCTTTGCTGTTAAAAAAATCCTGTTTGGAAAACTTTTTTGAACTGCAATTATATTTTTGAAAGTGTAAACTTGAAAATTCTGTTTTCGTGCAAAATGGCGCTTTTAAAGAAGTAGTGGACGGAAGGCTATGTTTGTGCTCTTTCTGAAGAATATTATTTGTATCTAGTTATTTATTTTCCAGTATGTAAATCGACGATAGATAATATTTCCAGAAAGAATGGAAAATAACATCGGAGTTTGGCTTGAAGGCGAAAGAATTTTCAAAATAAACATCCAAGGAAAAAACGGAATGTTTCGAATGCCAACCATAAGCAAAGCGATTAATGCTGATATGAATCTTAAAAAGGTGAAAAAACGTAATGTATATTGTCTTTCTCCATGACATACTGCCGAAAGCAGAACGCGCTGCAGAATTCTGTATGAGATGCAATTATTCGGACAAAAATGGAAAAATGTTATCACAACAGATGGAGTTTGAATACTGGATGTATTTAAATGACAGCAATAAAATGGATTCATTTATTATCATCAAAGAAAAGAAAGCAACCTTATAACAGGGTTCAAAGAATCTAAAAACGTTTTTCCAAGGGATTTATGATTGTTGCTGGTTTTTAATATAACGGCAAATGAAAATTAAAGAGAATGCAGAAAACGATTACATTCAGCTTCACATCTTATCAGGAATTTATTTTGTACCTAATTTTCAAATATGAAATACTTTCTCTTCACCCACAGTGCCATCAATCAGTAGAACTACATCAAGACAAAGCAAGAAGCCGCATATCAAAATCTACTGTTCATTTCCTGGAAGAAATGGGTAACAATGCCATACCCTTCACTTATATTCCTACTAAATCTCCTGATGTATCATCCATGGATGTTTGCGCTTTCGGACATTTAAAAAGCAAATGGTCCAAAAGTCAACTTACAACTCTCCTTGCATTCTGGAAAGCTATTCAAGAGGAATAGGATTAGGATACAAAAGCATTTATTGTTTTGAAAACCACGGTGTAGAAAAATAGTGAAGATTAAGAATTATCAAATGTAACATTTAAACACAAAACTATTTAGTAAAATATTTCTATAAATACAATGAAAATCGTCTAAAAAATGTGCGAACAGAATATTGATAATACTGTTTAAATTTTGACAGTTTTTTAACCTTCTGTTACGAGTTTTCGAGGAAATATTTCGTATGGGCATATAGTTTTCTTGAAAACTTAGATTAAGCGTATAAACTATTTAAAGAATAAATTAAACACATGAACTACATGTAAAAAAATGTACGAAAGACTTTCAGGTAATTTGTTGTTACTCTGGAAATGAAATCGGCTTTTTCTAAAACTAAAAATTTCAGCAAATCTTATAAATTACAGTATTTTGCTTATGAATATTCGCTTCGTATGGTATTTCATTTAGATACATTAATATGACATTAATTTGCTACGTGGATCCCAAGATGGTACACAAGAGAGTACTAGCTGCACATATAGTAGTCACAGCTGTATGTAGAATAACTTAAAAATATTTCTAAAATCTTTAAGTTTGATAAACAATTTTTTTTCAGGTAGCTTAACTGCACGCAACGACTGACTGTCTGAGGCTCCTAGTTTCAACATGGAATACGTGGCCAAAGGATTTAGGGCTCCTTTCGAGTTTTATGCTTGGATGATGTCTAAAAGTGGTAAGCAATTGATCTGTTTTTGTCATATTTTTAAATTTAGGTGAAGCAGTGTAACATTTGTATGACCTGTTCTCTGACCTAATCATGTAAGTACAACGTACTTCAACCACGAGCTGAAGCGATATAAGAATTAAGGGGAGTGATAAACAGTGTTTGACCTCTAGAAAATTTGAAGAGTTGTTTTTATTTCAATGCTCTGTTTATTCAGTTTGTACATTTCAGATATATCAAATCCTTTTTATCCCTCAAATTGAGCGTTACGTAAGAAGAAATAAAATCCAAGGGTTTAATGTTTATGAAGACTAAATAGATAAATGACTCGAAATTTACACTGAGACTAGTATCTATAGCACTTTGCCATTAGAGTTTTATTTGAGATGCCATGGTTTCAGATACTTAGCTAGTGTTGCCAAATGTGATTTTAGAATAATTTAAAAAATAGAGGATTTTTTCAAAAGTTAAAAATCTTTGCTTTTCAGTAATGTAAGCTCGAAAAAAGAAACATTGTAAATCAAAAAATGAATGTACCATATCTGCACGATGTTCAAAATGAATTTATCTATTATGAGTGCTGGTAGTTTGTAACTAAAGAACCTTATCTCCTTATCCAGTGATATACATTCATCTTTAGATTTGGTGTTTCTAGAAACAATTTCGCTACATTAAGTATAAAAACCCACTTCACGTTTTCCCACTAAAGCAAAATTCTAATAATACAATATGTTCGGGAATTCAGCAATGCCGTATTAATGGACCGAATTTTATAATAAAACAATTTTTTCTTGTGACAGAATGGAAACTAAAAATTGCATGCAGAAATTTTGCACCGTTAAAAAGTAAAATTTATTTGTAGGTAATTTTATTCACAGTTTAATTGTATTTAATCAGTTTTACAAAGCATTAACTGAATTTTAATTACTTTTCCAAAACAAAAAATTAAAATATTGCACAAATCCAAAACAAACAATAATTTTTTGGCAAATTCATTTCTTGATGAGATTACTTTAGCTTTTTCAATTATCTTTAGCTTCGTATCTCTTTGCTCTTAACCATATATACAATACGCTATCTATTTGGTTGAGCATCGCTGAATTTGTTTTCTTCTCTTTTGGTATTTCTTTTTCTTTTTCTAATATTTGTTGAGTATCGAACACTTCTAGAAAACAAAACACTCAGATAGGGAATTCTGTAGTTTTTCTTTATGTCTATCGCTATCATAAACAGTAAAAGATCCAATACAAAATTCCTCGACTACAATACATCTATCTATTCCTAATTTTATCCAGCCAATAAGAATTATTTAGCTTTCAGTGAATTGTTAAAGTCACGTATTTCCATTTTATTGCCTTTTTAATATTTTTATCAAAATTATGAGCCCTTTTAAATAAATAAAGGAAATTAATGATAGATAAACGCTAAGTTAAAATTTAGCATAAGGTTTGACTGAAAAGTAGTAAAAATACATGGATAAAATACGCTTTTGGTAGCTAGTAGCACATCTTACAAGATGAATGCCGGAGAAAGGGCTGCCAGATTATCAGGTGTGCCAAACTATTATACGCCAAATTATGGGTCGGTTGATCTTTACAATATGGTAACTGGTAGTTTAGCCACATTTTGGAGGCGATAAAGGTTACTACCTGGCACTTTGGTAATAATGTGAGCAGTACTCAGTTCCGATTACGCATTATTTGTGTGAGGGAAATGAGAGATCTGGGATATGTCATGTGATATAATGGCGAATACGGTTCTTTAATCGGAAAAGGGGGGAAATCGGAAAATCTGAAATTTTGTATTTGGCTTATTCTGTGTTTGGAAACAGTGTTCGTGAATTTTGGATCCATGGCCGTAATAAAGTGAATTCGAATGGGTATTTATGTTGATTAATTTAATGTATGTCATTTATATTTTAAGTAGTGTTTTTGAATTAATTATATTTTAATTAAATGATAGGTATTTTGTGAATTTTATTTTGTAGGAATTGGTCTCGTTTAGTTGAAGTAAAGTGCATGGAAATATTTAAATTTGACATAAGTATTGTAATGGTTGCGTATGAATTCGTTGTGACTGTAAATGTAATGATATTTAGAGGTAAAGTTTTTGGATATTTTATTTATTTTATATGTGAAATGTTCATATTTGCAAAGTAAATACTTTTTCCGATCAGGTAATTTCATATGTTCTTTTACCGGGTTTAAAGATGAAAATTGTCATGTATTTTCGTGAAATTTTTAATTTATGAGTAAAGCAGGTACATGGATATAATGAAGAGTGTGCGCAATGCATTTTTGTGCAATTCTGGGATGTTTTTTTAAGTAAAATAAGTCGGCGGTACATGGTTTATGTGTATTGTTATTTTGAAAACGCGTAAGAGTATGGTATTGGCCTTTTCCCAATTTTGCAGTGATATTTGTCATGATTAAGCAGTTGTTAGATAAAATTTCTGATAAGTGTAATTCGGCTAGTAGATTGTTGGAAGAAGTGTTCAGTAGATAAAAGAACAGAACATGTTTTACTTCGTGAAGACAAAATGGCGGCGGGAAAAAAAAAATAGAGGGTTGCTGTAGGAGAGTTGGTCGCCAAATTTTCGCCAAAAAACGCCAATTTACCATAATGTAAAGATCAACCTATGGGTCTTTTACTGTAATTGTAAATTCATTTTCCTGAATATCTCTGCATCAAATTTAAGTGAAATGAGCAATCAGTTAACAATATTAATTCACAGAATATGATATTCTTAAGACTGCTAAATGTTATTAAATCTTTTAATCGCTTGTTCTTATATTCTCTTATGTTATATAAATATCAGTTTTTTTTTTTCTTAAAGAGAAGTTTGTCACTTTAAGTACTACGTGAGTTTACTTTAAGTACTACGTCACTTTAAATGGACACTTAGCTCATTTAACTAGATATTTATCTCACATCCTACATAAGATAGACTAATAAAAGTCGTGAATAAACTTTGCAAATCTTATAGGTTTTACACATTTGTAATACAATGCCATTACAACATTAATGATAAACACCAGTTTCATAAAATGTAAATTTGTTTGTTACATAATCTAATATATCAAAACAAACTTATCATCATACAAAACTGAATGAAAAACTTGTTATTGTCTTCTTGGTGATTATGATTTTTATTATCTTTGACTTCGGGATGATTTACCTCTGCATAAACAGCTGATTATATATTTTAGATGTGTGCATTTTGTTGTCCATTTTCAATACAAAAATTGTGTTTAGTTTTTAAATGGAAACTAAATTTAATTCCTGCCATAAATTTTGTATTACTTTTGCTTGAAAAATGATAAATTGTTGCGAATTCTATTTTGAACCAAAATATTTTAATTTAACTAAATTATTATTAATGAAATTGCTGTTCATAAATATTCATTATTTAAATTTCACAGTCATTTAACCCTTTCCATCACGCTACCTTTTAAAGTTGGAGTTTTGATTAAAAAAGGTAGGCTCTAATTAGGCCTGAGGATACACACTAAAATTTTGTGAAGATAGCACTTATCTTTTAATTCTGTGGGTGTGCCCAAAGTGGCACACGGATTGAATGATTTTGAATAGAGATGCTGAAACGAGCGTGTTGTCAATGAACGACCGATGAGATGAGGAGAAACAAAAATACAGACTCTCAGTTCCCTAGATTATCGGTGAGCCCGGTTTGGGCACACTAGGGTTGCGTTTGATTTTAGGCAAAATTTTCAAGGTAAAATTTTAAACTAATAGAATAAAAAGATTAATACAGCCAAAAAGAACATAGATTTTTTTTCAAACAATTCCTTTTATACCCTAAAAAAATCTGGAAGATTTCTTTGAGAATGAGGGTCTTAAAAAAACTAAACATGGCTAAATATATGGACTGGTTTTTTAAGCGCCATTTATATAAAAAGAAGGTTCAGATTAAAATAGTAACTTTAAATCCTTTTCATTCAATTTTTCTGTGAGTACAGAAGGAAATCTTTAGGTGTGTCCAGACCGGACACACTGTGCCGCAAAGGGTTAATGGAGTACTAACGAGTATTTTCAAGTAAAAACAAAGAAAACATAATAATGCAGGTAACAGACTAGCTGACTTTTAATGGTTTAACATGCTTAATATTACTGAAGTGATGCAGATATTACTGAATTTTATTACAAAGTACTTAAACATCGGTAGGAATCCTCTAAAGTTTGATATTTTATAGCAATTATTTTTATGAATTAAAGTTGCGGATTAAGCTGCTAAAAGTTATAAAGTTTCGCCATATTTCAATTTCATCATTCTGCTCGTTACCGAATGTAGGTTAATTGGGCAATATTTCAAGATATAGCAAATGAAAAATTTATTTTATTATTTCAAAACTGATACAATACAGCAACTCTGATTTTGGTTCGTGTTCGAAAAGTTACGAAAACATTTTTCAACTCTAATGTCTATATTATTATACATTTTATACAGGTATTTATTTATTTGACTTTTTATTTATTATTGACATATTAATATTTTATATTCGTAATGAAAGTAATCGAAGGAATGTTTAGCTTTCACATTGTAGGTCGCTGAAATACTTGATAACTTTCTTTTAACGTCACGAATGTCTTTCTTTCGGCTTTTATTCTATAACTGATTTATTTACTTTCTATCTTCAAACTATGATTGGAATTCTAATAGAATTTAAAGCCGTAATATTAATGAAAATATTGTAGATTGAGTAAACCGAAAAAAGTTGACGTGTTAGAATCTAAAACAAAATAAATACAAGATGACGATTAAAAAATACACAGATGAACATTCAATTATTTCCAAAACTTATAGCTTATATTATTTCAAATTCATTACCTTAATGTAACTTTTCTAATGTAATAGTAAATCAATAAATACAACAGGATTTATACTGAGAAAGAATGTTGAATTGCACAAATAAAATATAAAGTTGTTTTTAAAAATATATGCTTTTTGACATTCTTAAATCTTTAATAAATAGACACAATATTATGCTTTT